CTTTTACTTTTATTTTTTCTAACTCAAATAGCTTTTTAATATTTTCAGACATGGATTGATGACAGGGGATCTTGTAATGTGGGTCAAGGGTGGAAACAAATTTAGCAAAGCAATTCTCTTCCAAGAGAGAAAAAGGCTGTTAACTAATAATAATGAACTCCAATAGATTATGATCTAATAATTCTATGTGATTCTTATTAGCAATTGAATACGAAGAATGGCAAACAAGTTTTGCAGCAAATTTTCCAAATACTTTAAAAGTATTTGGATGTTTTTGTTCAAAGTGGCGCGTTATAGGCATTAATAACGTGAGTGAACCCCATTTACCTACAACACCTTTATCTTTATCACAGACTTTACAAATACGAGTGTCATCTTCAAGCATCTCAAGGTAATTGTGAATAGGTGTGAGATTTTTTTTCATCTATTTTTTAATTTGTTGTTAGTTTGGTTTTGATTATTAACGCTTTTAGAAGAATTTTGTGTGTTATTAAAATAAGATTCGATTGTTTTAACAGACATGGTGTTAATAGATTAGATCAATATTGAAAAGAGATGAGACAATTTTAAATTTGGTTTTTTTTAATGAAAAATGAGCCAACTTTTATATTCGAATTTTTTTTATTTTTTTAAATGTATATTTATTAATAAAAAATAAATAAAACTTAATTACAATTATTATATAAAATTTTTTAATGCTAATTTTAAATTATAATAAAATTCTTTGTACTCTTCGTGTGTGCACTGGCTCTGGCGACGAGAATAGCATAAATAGTTCCAAAATAATACTTATACATGTTCTGAAATAATGGGTGATAATATGGTAACAATATTTGTCTTGTTTTCGCCCAATTTCCAGTTGGGATTGTGATCTCTATGATCAATTAGGTTGAGTAAATAATGCAAAATTCCAATTACATACCTTTTATTTATGCAACTTTACTTAAACAAGAAAATCCATACAATTATGCCGACACTTAGTGTTGGAACAAGTGCGATAGGGAATTGAACGTTGATAATCATAGCCTGTTTGTTAATCCCCAGTTTAATAATAAAGCTGCAATAATTAACTATTCTAAATCCCAATTATATACCTTTATTTATACAGCTTTTATTTAAACAAGGAAATCTATACAATCCTTAATTATTTAAGTAGTATTATCGTGATTGCAAAATTCTTTATCCTATTGATTATCCAAGCGATAATCATTAACACAATCGATTAATTGTGATGAAAATAAGTGCAAATTTGATCTGATTTATTATTTTTCCTTTAAAAGATCATTTGATGCTCTTAAGCATAGTAAAAGCATTCACTACCACACAATTACAATCGCAATTGGCAGTGATGATCATCACTTGAGCGATCAATAGGGTATTTGCAAATCGCGACAAACCAAATGCAATAGTGAATTAAACATTGATAATTGCAGACTGTTTGTTAATCCTAAAGCTGCAATGCAATAAATAATTAACAATTGAGGTGTGGCGACTTAGTGAAGTGGTCTAGTTGTCACCCTTACCAAACATTATGGGAAGATCCCATGTTCAAATCCCAGGGACAGCGTTTTTGTAATATGGGAAAAGTCTGCGACGATCTTCACTAAGGTTGGCCCATAGAGGATCTGTCGAGACGGTGTCTGGTGGCACCATTGAGGTGATTCCGGAAGGCTGTAATCTGTGGGCTGTGCATAGCACGGGTCACAGGACCGGAGATCGAAGCCCGTTT